AATACTGTAAGTTGGAGACCTGAGTAAATATCCTGTAGTCCATCGTTAAACAGAAGTGAGTGTTTATACTACCCTTTAAATTAGTGTTCATTTACTATTTAAATAAATATTTACTTAGGGCACTTCTACATAGCAGGGCAAAAGTCAAATTAAGCTATACAATTTCAGCTACATCAATTGCGTAGCTGAAGTCAAATTAGCATAATTCGACTTTTGGCTCTGTCTACACAACAAGAAGTCAATGGAAGAATACTCCTCATTCAACTTTACTAACTCCTCCTGAAATGAGGAGGAGTAAGAAGTACTCCAGCTCACCATTATTTTGAAATAATGGCTTGCTATGTAGGCATGCTCTGTTATTCAAAAATAACGCTACTTTGTAGACATACCCTTAGTGCCCTTATGTGTTTTTCTCTCACATTACAATACCTTATTAAAAGCTATCTATACAACACTCTACTCAACAGCTTGGTAGGAAATCTGTTAACTGAAAGATGTTAATAGCTTTCAATTTGTGTGTGTTTTTTTAATAAAGCAGGGATGTTCTCTTTACCTGGTTTCTGTGTGTTTCAGAACATTGCAAAACTATGTTTTCTATGGGAGAGCCCATGTTAGAATACAAAAGACCAATTTTTAGACATTATGTGACAGTACAAAAGTATTCATCTGTGCCCTGGAAATGAATCATGCAGTGGAGGTTAACATCCAAGATAACACATGCTTCTAGGAGAATACAAATAAACCTTTCATGTTTCACATGGATATGAATTTAGTAATATTGAGAAACTACATGTTGGGGGGAAAAAGAAGAAAGTGATTTTGATATCACTCATAAGGGAATTCATTGTTGTTCTGTTTGAGGAAGGACATTCTGACAGACAATATTGATAATATTATTCATGTTTGTATTGAATTGATTATACCATTTACAATTAAATGTAGATGTACTGATTGTAGAATTTCCATCTTGCTGCACAATCCAAAAACTTTGGTACCACTGCACGGTTTTTTTCCATAATGTAGTAGTAGCCTGAGGAACTTATTGGTTCAGTTTTTTCAGGCCAAAAATTTCATGAACTGAAAAAGAGTGACATATTTCTATGAGATAGGATTTTATATGCAATTTAAACTTTCAGTACTAACTATCTAGGACTAGGATGGAACTTTCCTAATGACAAGTTATACCGTAATTGTCCAATATAGTATTTCTGTGAGGGGCAAAATACATGAGCCACTGCTCTGATCTGATATGGCAATTCCTATGTTATATACACCTGCATTAAGCCAACAGTGAATTGCTAGCTGACTTTTTTTCTCTAGTACCTGACAGAATGATTATGTTGCAGGTGTGGCCTTGCTTTGTCTTTCAGTAGAAGTGAAGTGACTGACCCCCCTGGATACCAGATTCATAGGGAAATGACTGTTTCTGTTTGTTTGTGCCCACACAAGCCTTTCTCCATCCACACCACCCGGTCACGTGGTGAATAGAGATTAACAGTCACTTCTTGCTTTTGATTGCTAGGTCCACGGTGGGGACAAAACCCAGCTCAGAAACTGCAGCACAGTAACAGTGTTTTATTTTCTTGTTTGTGGACTGGAAGGCTGCAAAAATTGGAGCAAGAACCAAGATCTGCTACAAAGTTTAAAATATGGTTACAGTGAAGGAAATGATGGCATGAAACTGGAATATTACAGATATTCTTATGTATATTCTGAGTCTTAAGTCCTTGTTTTAGTAAGAAAAGTAAGTTATTAGTTTGTTTCTTTTTCTTCACTTCTAGTAATGCCCAACTAGTGCAGCTGTTATGACAAAGTGATAGGGATTCTTCTGTTCTGACATCGTATATAATAGACTTTTAAGCTAAGTTCCAGTTGCAGAAACTTCATTATTTATGATAATGTGGGACCATGAAGAGCCCAGATTGGCTTTCATATCCCTTGTTGAATGTGCATTTTTTTCAGCCTTCTTTAAGTGTAGAATTCCAAGATGGAGGTTACTGAGTACACTGACTGACTGCTCAATACACTAAAATTAGAGCATAGGCGCGCTCTCTAAATGTGCAACGTTTTTGTTATTCTTGTATGAATAGTCTCCAGTTTGTCCATATGTTTCCTGAAATGTGGGATCCAGAACTGGAAATGACACTTCAGTTGAGGCCAAATCAGCATGGAATAAAGGAAGAATTATTTCTCATGTCTTGTTTACAATACCTTGGTAATACATCCCAAAATAATGTTTGCTTTTTATTTATTTAAATTTTTTGCAACAATATTATCCTGTTAACTCAAATTTAGCTTGAGATCCACTATGACCTGAGTGCCCTTTCAACAGTACTCCTTTCTAGGAAGTTATTTCCTTTTTATATTTGTGCAACTGATCTGATTGTACCTTCATAAGTGATGTACTTTATATTTGTCCTGATTGAATTTCAGCCTATACATTCCAGCTAGGTTTTATTTCCTAGTTTGTTTATGAAAAGGTTGTGAGAGACAGTATCAAAAGCCTCATTAAAGTCAAGATCTGCTACTTCCCCCCCATCCACAAGACTTGTTGCCTTGTCAAAGAAAGCCATTAGGTTGGTTTAATATTATTCATTATTGACAAATCGATGGTGATTGTCATTTGTCATGGTATTAACTTCTAGGTATTTGCAAATTGAGTGTTTAATTTTTGGGTACTAAAGTTAAGCAGACTGGTCTGTAATTCTTTAGGTTGGCCGTATTCCCCTTTGGATAGATTGGCACTGTTTGCCTTTTTTTTTTTTTTTTTTTTTTTTTTTGTCCTTTGAAATCTTTCTTCTCTCCCAAGTCTTTTCTAGGATAATAATTCATGGTGCAGCGTGTTTCATTAGACCCTGGTGACTTGAAGACATCTAATTTGTCCAAGCAATTTTTAACTTGTTCTTTCCCTCTCATCCTACCTCATTTTTTAGCTTTTCCTACCTCATTTTCACTGGCATTTGTTAGATTTGCAATTGCTACTAAACTTTTTTTCTGAAAACTGATTCAAAAAAGTCATTCAACACTTGTGCCATTTCCACATTTTCTGTTAGGCTGTGTCTAGACTGGCAAGTTTTTCCGCAAAATCATCTGCTTTTGTGGGAAAACTTGCCAGCTGTCTACACTGGCCGCTTGAATTTCTGGAAAAGCACTGACGATCTCATGTAAGATTGTCAGTGCTTTTCCGGAAATACTATGCTGCTCCTGTTCGGGCAAAAGTCTTTTTCCGAAAGACTTTTGCGCAAAAGGGCCAATGTAGACAGCACAATAATGTTTTCTGCAAAAAAGCCCCGATCGCGAAAATGGCAATCGGGGCTTTTTTGCGGAAAACTGCGTTTAGGTTGGCCACGGACGCTTTTCCACAAAAAGTGCTTTTGCGGAAAAGCATCCTGCCAATCTAGACGTGCTTTTCCGAAAATGCTTTTAACGGAAAACTTTTCCGTTAAAAGCATTTTCGGAAAATCATGCCAGTGTAGACGTAGCCTTATTGTTTCTCCCTTCTTATTCGCCCAATTTACTCGTGTCCCCTGTCCTTGGTCTTCCTCTTGCTTCTTATGTATTTGCAGAATGTTTTCTTGTTAACCTTTATGTCTCTATGTAGTAGAATCTTCTTTTGTGTGTTGCCCTTTCTAATTTTGTCCCGATGTACTTAAACTATTTGTGTATACTCATTCTTTGTAATTTTCACTTGTAGGATTCACTTTGGGGTTTCAGATCATTGGAGGTCTCCTAGTTGAGTCACTGTGAACTCTTGCCTGTTTTTCCTGTAAAATGGGATAGTTTGCTCTTGTGCCTTTAGTAGTCTCTCTAAAAAACTTCCAACTCTCTTGAACTATTTTCCCCCTTAGGCTTGTTTCCCATGGAAGGAACCACACCTGGGAAAAATCCCTACAACAGGAAAATGGCCTGATAAAACTACCTTTTGTATATTTGAAATTTCCTGTGAAGGACTACTCATGCAAAACGTTTCAACACAATAACAACAATTTTTGAACATTGTAAGGTTCAGTTTCACCAAAAGGACTAATAATTAAGTCGGACCTCTTAAGCTAGCTGAATTAGTATCAAACTTTAATATTAGAGAATCAATAGGATAGGAAGTGTTCTAGTTGGTTCAGTGATCCAAAGGTAAACATAGAAGTAAAAACAGACTGCATTGCTTCAGTATATCAGTTTTTCTCATGACGTACAGCAGTATATTATAATGCAAACAAGCCTAGGCAAAAAGGACTACAGTGATGGATTATGTAATAGATTTTTTTAAACCCCAACTTCATACCAAAGTTTCCAAAGGAGTCGCTCAGTTTGACTTCTTAGAAGTACTTTAAAGTTTTCTTTTCAAGAAGGATTACAGATTTACTTCTGATTTTTCTTAATTTATTAAGAGTTTCTTTTTTAAAAAGTACTATAGTTGAAGAGGGCGTTCTGTTACAGATGTAAACACTTCTAAGTACACGAATTTCAAAGCTTCTCATTTATGTTTTGGGCATCTAAATTATTGTCATTGATTGCAGGGGTTTGTATGTGGTGGCAAGCAGGGGCCTGGGCCCCTCAATAATGGTTGGGGGCTCAAAACGTCTCTGGCCCAGGGCTGCAAAGGCAGTGAGCTCCTTCCTAGGGAGAGGGCAAGAGGGAGGGTAGAGAGAACTCCTGCTGGGATTGGGATAGTGGGAAGTAAATAGTGCCTTTGGGGGGAAGGAGCACAGAGGATGCTCCTCCAAAAGGGGTCAAATTTAAATACCTGCATATACCCCTGTTTGGTCATGTCCTCAGTTGGTGTAAGTGGTGTAATTCCATTGACATAATTGGAACTAAACCCATTTACACCCACTGAGGATGTGGGTCTGTATCAACACTCCATTTATCAATCCAGTGCTTAAAGAATTTGGAATTATGAGGACTGGTACTTAAATGAAAAAAAATGAAGCTCTTCCCTATTCGGATTTTTATTTAACTGTGTCTTTAAAATTTAGTTTTCTGTTTTGTTTTCTCTTTGACAGCTCCTTCAGGCTGGAAGGAATATCTACATTTGGAGGCATGTCAGTTATTTCTTTGATGTTGGATTCGTCATTGTGACTTCTTGCAGGCCAGATCTGATGAAAGTAACCAGGAACCTGACCCTCCTTGGAGCATGGAAGCCCTTAGAGTCAGAGCACAACGAATCACTGGTGTAATCTACATCAAATCATCTGCCTCAGATCTGACAGCTTTGAGCTGAGTCCTGACAAAAGCCACAGCCTTAAATTTTGCTCACATGGAAAGAAAAATAAAGAGGACTAAATACCTTGCCCCATTACAGAAACAACTGTCTCCAAGCCTGACATTTGAGGAGTTCAATACTGAGCAATTAGAGTAATAAACAATAAATCAATTTATCATGAGGTCCAGCCAGCATCCAAAAAAAAAATTTAAATATGTAGCCAAAAGGAAACATGAAGCACTTGAGTGATTACAGGAAAAGCAATGCATGTACTACAACAGAGGAATATTGCTGTTTGTGGGAAAAGAAGACCTCTACCATCCCTTGTACATATTCAAAGCCATAGAAGATTGGAGCATCATTAATGCTCAAATGCTTGAAAGGATGTTGTCTCCTGTTCTCCACCTGAATCTGAAAAAAAAAATCCGTATTACAGATTGCATTTCAATGCACTTCTAATATTTGCACTGTCACTTCCATTCAGGGTAATGATGTGTGCCATCATTTGCACAGATGGCCCTATGAGATTTTAGACCACAACAAGCTGTATCTTGCAGGGGCTCCAAAAGGAATTAAAAAGAAAAAAAGGTGAAGAAAATTAATACAGTGAGGATTTCTCCCCACAAGAAAATAGTCCTGAAGATTAATAAATATATATATGAAAAAGCATCAACATGATAAAGGGGATTTAAAAAGGGATCTAATATTTTTGTTAATGAAATTCATTTTATATCACAGTAACAGCCAATAGATTGAACCTATTAAACGGTATACCCAGAATGTTCCTGTTGGACATTGAAAGTATCCTCCTAAATAATATCAATGAAAAAAGGCATTTGTAATATGTATTTGACATATAATTTTTATAGCCATTTATCTATGCTACATGGAGAAATGTAAAAGACAAACAAACAGCGTTTTCAGTTTATTTTTCTAAATAAAATGTGTTGTTTGTATTATTTGCAGTCACTTATTTTAGATGGCATTCATAACCCCAAAAAGGATTTAAAGATGGAACCAAAACACAATAACTGTTTTGCCATGTTAAATCGTAACGATTTGCAGACTGAAAGCTTTAATATAAATACTATAATTTGTAAAATTATAAAGTATATTTATACTGGCAAATATGTATGGAAAGAAGAGGAGGTATTTTAACTCTTAGTTTCAGTACATAGGTTATTTTGGTAGTCATATGAAGGAATGTGAACTTATATAATTAGTTAAGGGTTTATTTTCTCCTGTGGTAATACATTTTAGCAAATGAAGTTTCAAATGCCTAGGAATTCAAAGAATGAATCTAATCTTGATGATTTTTCAGAATTACACACAGTCCCCTTGTCAAGTGATTCATTTAATCTAGGGACCACTTTTTTCATATTGTAACATACTCACCAGGCCACTAAAGATGCCGCTGTTTGGTCATGAAAAATGTGAAAACTTGAGGTAAGAGAGATTGACGATTACAATCATCTGCAAATTTTCATTTAGGAACAATCATTGTATCTGTCTAATGGAGTATTTTGTTATCAAGTCATTGAACACATTGATTCTAGAGCTGTTTTGAATAAAAATATATTTTTCCTTTTTTCATAATCTTCTAGCCTGTGTGTAATTTTAGGAGAAAGTGAATCCTGTGATATCAACTTTCTTTAATCATCAGCTTTGATCTAACCACACTTTGTTTGCTCTTGAGGAACATATTAATTAATCATTCAATAGGGAAAAGTGTTCTCTCAAAAATGATCTCTTCTAATGCATACTTACATTTAAAATGGATAAATAGCTTAGTACTCATGCCTCTCAAAAGAGGGCACAGAGGGTGAGGGGATCAAGCAGAGCCCATATGCATGGGTAGCCAACAATGTCAGCTCTCCATGTGTGCTGGCTTCACAGACCCACCTACCCCCTCTTTGTTGCCTTCTACAGAGGTAGTGCAGGGTGGGCAGGAGCCGCTGGCTCCATGGAGCAACTTGCCTACCCCCTGTGCTGCTACTTCTTTCAACAGCGCTGGTGAAGGGGGGCAGGGGAGGCTGCCATGAAGCAGCCTCTGTCTGCGGGCTGGCCCAGATTCACTGGGGACAGAGGCTGTTCCATGGCAGCAGCCTCTGTCCATGGGGATGGTTTGAGCTCCTTGCAGACAGAGGTTGCTCCAGAATCCCATATAGCAGCCTCTGTCTCAGGGGATTCTGGTCCCACAACAGACAGCGGCTTCTCCGTGGCAGCAACCCCTGTCCACGTGGGATCCAAGCTCCCCGCAAACAGGGTCTGCTCTGTTGTAGAGAAACTTCTGTCTGCGGGAAGCTCAGACTCCCCACAGACAGGGGCTGTTGCTGCTCTGCACTGCTGCCTCTGTTTCAGAGGCAGCAGTGTCGGGCAGCAATCAGAAATCTGTCTGGGGAGGGAGCTGGTTTTTAAACTGGCTCCCCTTGTGGACCGACTCCTGCCTGCCATCCCACACTGCTGCCCCTGATACAGAGGGAGCAGTGCGGTGAGGCAGAGGGCTCCCCAGAAGTGGAGCCAGAAGCACATGGGGGCTAAAATTTGATGCAATTTCATAACTATTCAATTACATGCTATCTAACATCCCCAGTTTAAACCTGCTAGGGACCCATTCTGCAGATGATGGCAAAAAAACACCAAGGTTTCTGCCATTCTGATCCGGAGGAATACTCCTTCCCAATCCTAAATATAGAGCAGATACATCTGAACATGTGGACAAGGCCCACCAGCCAGACATCCAAGAAAGAATTCTTAGTTGCAACTTAGGGAAAGTCTACACTAGGAAATTATTTTGAAATTACTCCCAAAGTAACTATTTTGAAATAGCATGCACACACCAGGGAAACCTCGAAACTACTCTGTGACAGGCTCTGTTACTGTGGATGTGCTACCTGAACCGAGAGACCCAGGAAACACTGGGGAGTAGTTATTCTGAAATAGCAGCAGTGGAGCATCCACACTACCATTATTTTGAAATAACTATTTCAAAATAAGTGTTATTCCTTGTGGAAAGCAGGAGTTATTTCAAAATAACTGATCCATTATTTTGAACTAAGGGGCTTGGTAGTGTGGCTGCTTTGCTTGTTATTTTGAAATAAGGGGAATAACTTTGAAATAACTCTCTAGTATAGACCAGGGCTTAGCGCCCTGAACATCTAGTGTTCCAGAAATGGATATTGCAGATATTTGCTGGTAGCAATCACAGATCAGCTACATGCCCTTGTAGGCAATCACTTCATACCAGCCCCTCTATAAACCTGTCAAGCTGACTCTTGAAACCAGTTAGGTATTTTGCCCTCACTGCTCCCTTTGGAAGGCTGTTCTTGAACTTCACTCCTCTGCTCATTAGAAAATTTGTCTAATTTCAAGCCTAAACTTGTTGATGACTAATTTATATCAGTCTATTCTCATGCCCATACTGGTACTTAAATAACTCCTCTCCCTCCCTAGTATTTGTCCCTCCAATACTGAACAATCTTATCTCCCTTCTGCCCTCTTTTGGTTAGGCTCATCTAGCCAAGCTCTTTGAGTCCTTTATTTTGTTTGTGACATGAGGTTTATAAATAGAGAATCCTCATTTTGTGTTTGCTAATTTTCTACATTATCCATAATTATTTAAACTACAGGTTCACCCTCTCTAAACTATGTATGTTTCTGGACCAGAGTGGCCTAGTGGAGGCCTGGTGACAGGAGCCCTGAGGCAGCAGGAGTCCATCTGGGCTGGCTGCAAGGCAGCTGGGGGTTGAGAGCCCTGCCACAGGAGTCCAGGTAGGCCAGTGGCAGAGCGGCCAGAGCACCAGTGGGCTGCAATGGGGCAACAATCTGCCAGGGAGGGGCCGGGAGCTCCAGCAGCAGGCAGCGGTCTGCCACTGGGCATGGGACACCCACTGGCTGGGCTGTGATCTGCCACGGTGGGGCCAGGAGCCCTGGTAGCAGGGGCTTAGGCTGCCATGACAGGGTCAAAAACCCAATACTGCAGCAGTCTGCTGGTAGAGCCCACAGAGCCAGGAGCCCAGCACAGAGTGTGGGTGAGGTGTCCAGTGGGATGTGAAGGAAGGGAACCAGTCGGGAGTCTGGTGGTCAGGGCAGGAGCAGAGCTGACTGCGGGCTGGTGGTGGGGGGCGGGGAGGGGGTGAAAGAGGGAAGACAATCTTCCCAGGTCCAGTAAAATCCCTCATTCAGGACCAGTCAGTGCCAGACCAGTATGATCCAACCTGCACAGCATTCAAAATAGCCATGATATAATTTTTGGTGTTCATATTCCCATAAATCATACTTCCAGCTGTACTTATGGAAAGTTTTTGCTTTCGGCAAACAAGCGCTTGTTTATCAAAATGTTGCAAATCAATGAGAAAAAATGCAACTTAAATCAGAGAATGAATACTTGCAGATGCATTTTCTTCCTTACTTACACAACTCTAGAGAAGTCATGATATTTTTAATATACTAACTGCACCTGGCACACATGCAGTTGTATAAGGACAGAGACAGTAAGGCTTTGTCTAAAATACAGTCCTCAAAGAGGAATGTAAAAGAAGCTGACAGAAAATTCAAATGAAGCGCGGATTTACAAATCTTGCACTTCATTTGCATAATTACGTGAGACTGCGTTTTCAAAGAAGGGTTTTTCTAAAAAGAAACTGCAGCGTAGGCAGGGTCCTTTAAAAAAAAAAAAACTTTTTTTGAAAGAATCCGTACACCTCATTTTTTTCAGGAGTATGGGTTCTACAATGCGGTTTCTTTTTCGAAAAACTCATATTTTAAAAAAGCGCTCTCACATGATTATGCAAAAGAAGTGCGAGATTTCTAACTCTGCGCTTCATTTGAATTTTTGATCGACTTCATTTAAATGCCTCTTTCGAAGGAGGAATGTAGTTTACATGTGCCCTTTAGCAGGTAGTCTTGCCTGACAGCAGAGCTGTAAATCTATCTTAAGAATGCACAAATAATAAAGATAATAGAACACTTTGGCCTGAATTACAAGAAACAATGTGTGTATGTCTGTGTGTGTGTTCAGGAAGACATCATAGCAAAGGAGATCATGGGTCTCGGCAAACAAATACTGTTGTTTACAGCTCCTTATTACTAGAGATTTTGCATTTTAAAACATACATACATCATTAATCATTTTAATTATCACCTTTCAAAAATAGAGGTCAGCACAGCTAGAAAGGACTAAATTCTGCTCTGCATGGTATTGGGGTAAACCCACAACCTTTGACCCGCCATTAGCGGGTAGCACTCATTCACCTGAGTAGTAGCATTCATGTCACTCACCATGCGAGAGACTTTCTGGCATTGGGATTTAACCATTAGTAAAAAGGACTCTCCTCTGAATAATTTTTGCTTCTACATTTCGGACCTGAATAAAACATAAGAAATTAAAACAGACTGCAAGCACAGAAATCCGCATGCTTCAGCATTCATAATGCTTAAGGCATTAAAACATTATTTTTTTTTTTTACTGGGGGATTAAAAAAGATGTGTACAGGCAGTCCCCGGGTTACATGGATCCGACTTACATCAGATCCCTACTTACAAACGGGGTGAGGCAACCCCGCACTAGCTGCTTCCCCCCAGCAGACCAGTGAGACGTGGAGTGGCTTTTCTCAGGAGACACCTCAGCTTGAGAATAAAGGACTGAGGGAAGTGAGGTGTGGGAGAATAAAACTGAGCTCTGGAGAAATGTTTGACTAGAGTTTCCCCTACAGTATGTACCAGTTCCGACTTACATACAAATTCAACTTAAGAACAAACCTACATTCCCTATCTTGTACGTAACCCGGGGACTGCCTGTATTTAACATTTATTTCCAAAAAAGCCTGGAAGAAAGTCACTTAAATAAATCAGTGCTTTATTTTTCTATTGAGCCTTCACTACGGTCTAGTGTAAAATGTTTTGACTGCTACTAGTCAGTACTGTACAAGCATTTTTATGCAATCAAACATATTCAAGAAATGCAGCTTGCATAGGTGAACAAAAACCATTTAGGATCATGCAATCATATGAGAGCAGAGCATCTTATTTATGCTTTATCTGCGTGTGTGCTTAATCATAAGCAAACCTCTGTTTTGAGTTTCATGGATCAAAGTATCGACCACTAAGATTGTTATAGTGTGAGCTCAGAATTGAAAACACTGTGATATTTCATGTGAAAGTAAAAAAAAAAATGTAAAAGATGTGGAAATTCAGAGATGTAAGATATGATTTAACTGTTGATCTGTTGTGTAATAATGCATCATCAATTACATTAATCATCAGCTCATACTATTCAAGTAGTGAAGCCAATACAAACCTCTAAGAGCAAGAAACTAAAATAGACTAATTTTATATATCAGAAGGTGACGCACTTCCCTGAATACAATAGCCCTACAAAGTACTGAGTAATGCTATTTATAGTTTTGTTTTCTGTTATATGCACACTGCTGTCTTTAAGAGATCATTACAGTACTTTTCTACTGGAATAAAGGCACTCTTCCAAGAAACATGGGAGTTCAGGTGAGATATAAATTGCACTTTTTCCAAGGGAGAATCAGATGACAGTTTCTTCAACTGGCTTCTAAAGATGCATTAAAAACAAATCCTCATATCTGAACCTCTTGAATTTCCTAGATCTGAAAGCTGTAAGTGTTAGATTTTGATCTAATTTGAGAAACATCTGTTCACAGCAGCTGAACTAATATGATTTCCACTAATCAAGATGGCAGAATAATTGTAAAAGCAGTTGATCTCATAAAATGTATGTATAGTTAAAAAGAATCGTACAAGAGAAGCTAGCTGAAAAAAAAAAAAGTCCAGAACTGAATCCAAAACTTAAATCTCATTCAGCACCTTAGAGGAACCATATAGTCTAACTTTATCCTGGAGTCTAATAAAATTGCCAGGGCTCATATCTATTTGATTCAGGCATAAGAGATTTTGTATGATGAATTAGTGTATGATGGCTAAACTGTTCAACAAGAGTACTCTCCTTTTGACAGGGGGAAAATACTATTTTTTCCTAAAGGATACAACTGGATGTAGAATATCAGAGGGGTAGCCATGTTAGTCTGGATCTGCAAAAGCGACATGAAGTCCTGTGGCACCTTATAGACTAACAGATGTATGGGAGCATAAGCTTTCATGGGCAAAGACCACATCTTTGCATCTGACAAAGTAGGACTTTGCCCATGAAAGCTTTTGCTCCCATACATCTGTTGGTCTATAAGGTGCTACAGGACTCCTTGTCACTAACTGGATGTAGATGTCTAGAACTAGGACTCTTAGGGTATGTCTAGACTACAAGCCTCTTTTGAAAGCAGCTTTTTCAGAAGAATCTTTCGAAAAAGCCTCTTTCGAAAGAGAGCAACTACAGCCAGTACTTTCGAAAAAGCAAGCTGCTTTTTCGAAAGAGAGCACCCAGGCAGTCTGGATGCTCTCTTTCGAGAAAGCATAGTTCGCATTCAATAATGTCTTTTTTTCGAAAGAGCACTTTTGAAAAAAGGAGCTATTCCTCGTAAAATGAGGTTTTCCATGATAGAAATACTGCCACGTTCTTTCTTTTGCATTACCTGTTCTTTGCTTTAGCTTCAACATATAACTATCACCTTTGACCTCCGAAACAAACTAGTTTTTATACTTGAGAATTACTATGTACTGATCACATGGAAAGCAACCTAAATCCCATTCCATCTGTGCTATAGAGATATGATTGCAATTGTTTTTGAGGAGGTCAGAATTCTATTGTAAGACTAGAAAAGTAGGAAGTGCAACTCCCACCTTACCGAACACAATGTTAGTCTGGAGAAAGCCATTTAGTTTATCATAGAAGGCATCAATGCGTGCTACATTGATTGCCTACAAACATCAGAGAATATAACCAAACTTTTTTCTCTGGGAGTCAAGTAATTCAGCTACTAATGATTTTTAGTTGTTGGCTACACTATTGCCAAAGATTGAGGAATCTGTTTCTTAACATGTTGATAGAAAGTAGTTTCACTTTCAATTAATTTTAACAAACACTAATCAGACTTGCACTGTTCATCTTCATGTTCAATATTAAAATTTTGTGAAAATAGTATTTCTGTCCAACAACTACCTAGTGAGTTGGAAGAAGGGCAATATTTTGGGTAGGAAACGCCCAGATAAATAAATCTGCCTTTGCATTTCTAATGTGCCCATCATCTAAAGGCCAGATAAAAATAAATGAATGAAAGTAAAATTATATTTCAGTGAGCAACCTTTTTCCGTGTTCTTCCACAGTTTTGGTGTCATGAGGAGAACTGTTTTGGCATTTTGCCCATTGCTCTCTCTATTTTTAGTTGATATATAGTTGAGTTGCCAATATTTCTTAGTGCAGTTATTAGTTGTATTGAAATCTATCTTGACTTTTGGCACTGCTGGGTGGGTGGGGAGAGGGAAAGACTTTGTGGAAATTGCAACCATGCTCAGCTCTAGCTGCATCAAACATGGAAAAAAAGAAGTTTGTCATTTTTCCAAAAGAGGAGAAAAATGAAAGAGTTCTTGAATGATTCTATTGCTTCTATCTATCTGCACTATCAAATGGGTTTTCTATTGTGCCCACCACTACACTATCTAAGCATCACTAATGTGTTTCCAAAAGTTTTTATATAGGATCTAATTTTGCCATACTCACAATGGGAGTATGTTAGCTCCTCCTACCCCCAAGAAATTGCACTGGAACAAGATACTAGTTAGCATTGATAAAACTAGTAGAGTCTGGCCTATAGTGAGTTATTCTCATTATATGCGGCCAGGTAAATCAAGGATAAACCAAGAAAATTAAATGAGCAAAAGCAAAATTAGTTGTGTCTTTTCAATACAGAAAAATCTTAATGGAAAAAATTCAGTTTGGCTTGAGTTTGAAACATAGTAATATGGACTGAAAACTGAGCTCATAAATAAAGAGTAAAAGAGGAGTAATTGAAAACTTTAGGCTGACTACTAGGAAGAACTTCTAGTAAAGTGAGAGCAATTTGACCAAGGAATAATCTTCCAAAGGAAGTAGAGAACATCTCTTATCATTATGGCTACGACTATACTACATGCTTGGCTGAAAGAGGCAATGCAAATGAAGCGTGGATTAGCATTTTCTCATGCTTCATTTGCATACTCTCTTTTATTTCGTTTTTGTGTACGGGGTTTTTGCATAAAAACAAACAGTGTGGATGTTTCCTTTTTTGTGCAAAAAAACTTCTTTATGTGCAAGATCCTTATGCCTTAGCTCCTTAAGCGAGAAAATGCTAATCTGCGCTTCATTTGCATTGCCTCTTTCAGCAACTCATGTAGTGTGGACAAAGCCTATGACATTTGACTTTTGAAATTAGATTGGAAAAAAGCTGCTAAAAATACTGTAATGATTATTCACTTTTTCATTTACAGAGATGTGGCAAATGTTCTGAATGGTATTTTTCATTTCTGATTTCTGTGTTTCTCTATATTATCCCTATCCAAATATTCTTCTAGAGCCATTCAGTTCTTCCCCACACATCCATCAAAAGGATTTGCCACAGGTACTCTGGCTGAAGTACGGTTAAAATAATCTTTTGTATCTAATATCCACTGATTGTAGTCACTATTATTAAGATAAGAATAATATTATCATATTTGATTTGATAAGACACGTATTTCAGATTGCACAATGATTCTATGACACAAGCCCTTTAGTACCATGCTTTTGTGAGAGAGCTAAGTCTTAAACTGCCAACAGTTTTCAACAGAGCCAGTCAGAGCCAGTTTCTTGTTAAATAAATTCTATGAATTGCCATGTGCCATCTAATTAGTTTGAAGTCCTTGCTAAGTACAGTACATAATGAAATCAGCTACCATTAATGTAGATGAAGTGTGCCAGGTCTGACCCTCAGAAAGCCAAATTATGCATTTGCCCCCACTATAATTAAGCTGATTGCTTACATAAATACAATAGCTTGCAATCCTCCAATTTGACTGAATAAACAAAACCGGATAAAACACTAGAAAATATGCACAGAGAATAATCCTGCATTAGCAGGCAGGTGGATGAAGTGATGTTACTAGTCTTTTTCCTATCCAACATCTATGATTCTTTCATCATACTTCTGAAAATTGTCAGAACACATGCAACATATAGGAGATACCCTATGACATTTTGCAGGTAAATTGTTCATATCACGTCTATTTCTGAAGAAGAAAAGAAAGGAAAATAACTGTCTATGGCTATGTCTAGACTACGCTTTTTTTTTTTTTGAAAAAGAGTGGCCTTTTTTAGAAAAAACTTCACTTGAGTCTAGACTGCCACTATGTTCTTTTGAAATTAAATTGAAAGAACATGGCGGTTTTTCGACAGCGGTAAACCTCATTTTACGAGAAAGAATGCCTTTTTTTCAAAAGAACTCTTTTGAAAAAAGGCATTCTTTAACACCAACAGGGCTTTTTCAAAAGAGAGCATCCAGATTGCCTGGCTGCTGTCTTTCGAAAAAGCGATTCGCTTTTTTGAAAACAGTGGTAGCGGTCTAGATGATCTCTTTCGAAAGAAGCTTTTTCAAAAGATTATTTCAAAAAAGATTCTTTCAAAAGAAGTGTGTAGTCTAGACGTACCTTATGTTGCTGCTCTGCATGGAGTGACAGCACAATTGGGCCTGTAAAATATATTAGGGTTCAGGAAGATGCCCTTTGTCATTCAGTCATTAAGATTTATAGAAATAGTTAGTGGATACTGATATTTGGAGAAGCAGACTGCTAGCCAGTATATATCTAGAGGTAACCAGAATTTTAGTGCAATTTTTTTGCAGGTATGAAATAAGGAAAAGAGATAACGATCACTTCTAATGAAAGTTCTTGTTTTTAACTTTGTTATTTTTAAATGAAAGTCTTATGAAGAGTCTGGGAATGTATGAAAATGTGTGCCTTAGACTGCAATGCATCATGGTAAAGAAGAGTAAATACTTCAGTGAGATACAGATGTGCTACGCAAATATAAAAATAACTGAGCCTACACAACTTGTCAAATTATTTGTTATATGAATGTGTGATCAGGCTGCCTTGAAAGACCTTTGATTGTAAAAACAAACAGAACAAAATAATATGGTGGAGAAAAGAAAGTTGCTCAACATACAGGCATTTTTAATGTTTTGCTTTATTGTGTATATGACCAGCTGCTACTCCACCAAGTCAATATTAGGTGACTAACAGAGAGTTGAGTAAACTGTGCATTCTCTGTCACCTGAAGTCTTTCAATTATGATTTTGGTAATTTAATAACTCAGCCAGTGATTATGAGCCTACTGAAGGAGTGGGTGGGTGGGGTTCTGTGGCCTGAAATGTGCAGGTAGCCAGACAGGAGATCATGATGATCCTTTCTGGCCTTACAGTCTATGAGAATAATTTTCTTTAAGTATCATGACTGAAGTGTGTTTTACAAATAAATGTGAATGAGAGGAATGCAGTGGCATTGTGACCTATCTCAGGGAGGGCATTTTCAAGCATTAGTGTTAACATGTTAACATGGAAGACAAGGCAAAGATGGCAATAGGAGAAGCTACCAAATAAAGTCTGAAAGCTGGTAGCTTTGGCGCCATGATGATGCTGGAGGTGGCTAATATGTAAAAGCAAGTTGAGTGAAGCTCTGGGAATAAATGTGAAAGCTGCATTTAAGAGATGTTTACCTGTAATTTAAATATGAGACAGAACTGTATATTCCTCTTCCTGGTGCTTAGAAATACTATTTGCAGATACTATTTGCTGGAAGAGGGAATTCAAAGATGAAATATTCAAGCATTATATTTTGTAGATGACATGAAAATGTTCACTACAACTTCGACGAAGAATGTCAGAATATGAATGCTTGTGCACGAAGAACAATAAATGTATTGCTGAATGCAATCATTCAGAGCAGGAGTACAGCTGTTTCAATAGGTCTTACAGGCAAGTAGAGAAACATTTTAACATTTTATGCAAATCTCCTTTTAAAGCCACTTCACATAGCCTAGTCATCAAAAAAACTGGAGCATCATCTGTGTAGCCAAAGTTATAACCCTCTTCACACTGTTCTGGCAGTGAAAAGAGAGTGTAAATACTGTGTTGAATGTAAAATATAATTCACACCCATTTTAATGACATTTACACTGCCATGGTGGTGTGAAGGGATCTTTGTGTAAAGGGAAAATCAGGTCCTCAAGCTCCAAAATAGTTTCTATCCTTAGTCACTAACTTGACTGATCAGAGTTAGCAGCAATTGGCCTCTTGGGGTGAATGTTGTGAAGTAGGTGCCATTGATTTCATGGATACATAATATTTTTTTCAGAGGTAAATCAAAATAAATAAATCTAACATGTTGTCAGATGAATTCTTTGTCCTGTGAGAGCGGGGCACACTTTTCAGTGGTATTCATTAAAAAGTCAGTGTATGCCAAAGATACCACAAACTGCAACCATGGTTACTCTTAGAAATTTGTCAATTTTGTCTTAGAAACATAAAGTAATTTCAACATTTGTAGAATACTTCTACTTCCATATATTTATGACAGGGAATACCTGGAATACTATAAATACTTGGACATTATTGTGTCCCCCCATGCCTGTAAATGAACCTATGGAAACAAATCATTATTGCCATGTAGAGTTTCATTTGTATTCTTTGTACTGTATATGAAAAATGTAGTATCTCAGATTTAGTTGTCCTTAAACACCAATCCTGCAAATGTGAAGGCATTGTATAAGGCAAGTGGCAATAGTGGTCCTTGCACTTAAAATATGACAGTTTCTCTTATATATTGACCACTTCTTGCTCCTTAGAGTTTCCTTTTACAAAGGAATTACAGTTTGTTTACTTTTCTCTAAAGCACTCTTACTGCCTCCTCTAATGTATTAAAAAATTGCCTCCAGTTCATAGATAATATTAAAAGATTTATTAATTAACCTCTATTCCCCTACCAATTTTTGATCTCCAATTTTTTGGTTTGCTCTTATTTAAATCTTGCATTTATTTATTTTAGCAGATACCAACTAATTCTCTCTCTATTCTTTATGTGCTAAGAACTGTGATTATTTTGTTATAAAAGAACTGAAGTTCTTATTGTAATACGTGGATTTTCAGTGTTTGGTTCTAGAAAGTGTTCAACAAAAAGTAGGAAGCACTCAATGCCTGCTACACTCAGCCTGAAATTTGTGTTTAATAAAGTTGAAATTCCAAAGACTTAAAAATAACTGATGGATCAAGTGGGTAATTATCACTGTCTGTAGAAACTGCACTTCAATTTCTGTTCTCAAAAGGAGACTAAATCTTTCTGCTGAAAATTCCTGGATAAAAAACAATGCCTATTTGCAATGTTATAATTGCAGGGATTTAATTTATAGATCCACACTGTTTTCGGACATTGTGCTTACAATATTTTATTTCCTTGTTTTGCCTACAAGGATTGTTTCCCTGTTTAAGGCAACAAGTTTTGATTAATATTTTACATGAAAATAGAATGATAAGTCCTGCAACAGTGTTATCCATGACGAGCACTTTAATAAAGAAAGTACCCTGTGCACCAGAAATGGATTAATTATGTTTGTCTATTCTGGAAAAAACCATGATCATGTTTTTCACCTAGATTAACTGGAGAATTATACATTGCCTTTTGCTAATATGAGGAAATTGATTAAGATTCACAGGAATGCTAGCTTTTATTATGTAATAGTTACTAACTACATCTATGAAGTGATGTTAGAGGACTTAGTAACAAGAAGATAAATTATAGAAATAATTTGTTCTCAGATAACCTATTAATTGTGAAAACAGATAATATAAAGACAGAATATACCCATATTAAGTTTATAAAACTACTCATTATTCACAGCCAACATTCTGAATCCTAGTACGTTCACCTTCTTGACTCTACAGTAAACAATTCTCTGCTGACACTATATTACAGAGAGTGGTTTCTGAGCTTATGGAATATGTGAACCACGCACAGAGAAGTTTTTGAAAAGGTGTTTTTGTAAATCTCATAACCGAAAATATGGTAAATTTCAAATCCTTTGCTGAACATTGGGGAAAAAATTTACCACCAGCATAAATAGCAAAATGCCAGTTTCATGACATTATTTTAAACATTTTTTGCAAGTACAGAAATAGTATCTTATTTGTTCGAATGCCCTTTAACCAAATTAATTTCTGTCTTGATGAAAACCTGTGGAAAATCTGTGGCATTTTGTGACAGTTTATGTACTATGTATCTGGATTGGAGTCCCATTATACTGAGTTCTGTACAAGCCCATAGGAAAATATGCTTCCTGCCATGAAGCCCTACTACCATATTTTACAATATTTTAAGACAATACACAATATGTGAGTATTGCAAAGAGTAGGAGCAAGTGGGATTAGGAGGGGAATGGAAGTAACAGTAATAAGACCTCAGAGTTATAGAGGTGACCTACCAGTATAACTTGATGGTTCTAAAGTATTTTAAATATTAAAATGTATCAATCATAGAAATGTGGGCTTGGAAGGGACCTCAAGAGCCATCAAATCTAGCCACCCCATTGATCCCCATTGTCCCTCTACCTGGTCATTCGTAAACTGTAGTTTCCTGTAGGCTTCACTGGAACTAATGGTAAATATGTTCATTGGCCTTTCATAGAATCATAAAATCATAGAACATTTTGGGAACTTTTTAACTTCAGATCACAAGACATGGCATTCATAAGACATAACTCAGACCTGACAAATAGATATCCCTTTAAGCTGTCACTATGCTTGAATAAAGTAAAGTCCATACAATAGAAATTTGTATATATACCTCTACATTCATTGTCCAGGTTGAAGTTCATCTTAGTATTTTTTCATAAAAGTTTTCCCATCTTCATCAGAGAAGTTAAAACAAAGAAAAATGTGGATTAGCAGTTATAGTAGGTTTTCTATGAGCCTTCCAAAAACTGATAGAAATGTTTGGAAAGAGGTCAACATTCTGGAAGTCCTCAGGAGCCAACATACTTTCTTAGATATTTCATTGAAATGGAGCATAGGAAGAACCCTAAAAAGAGATGGATTTCTTAGAGTGTATGAGAAGTAATCAGAAGGCATCTAATATGTGTGCCCAATGCAGCTGGCTTGGTTGGTTCTTCCTCCTTGCAGTTATTTGAGCAGAAGACCATCATGTAGTTTGTTGTCAGTCATAATACAGGTACCTCTGTAAGAGCATGTTCCCTGTGAACTCCATCTCCTGATGCAGTGCTATAGGATAACTGCCAAGATTTGCTCAGAACATACAATACAAAAATCATGGAAGTGGGAAAAGATTCCAGAAGACTGGAAAAGGGCAAATATAGTGCCCATCTATAAAAGGGAAATAAGAACAACCGAGGAAACTACAGACCAGTCAGTTTAAAGTCTGTTCTAGGGAAGCTAATGGAGCAAGTAATTAAGGAATTCATCTGCAAACATCTGGAAGAAAACAAGATGATAAGTAACAGCCAGCATGGATTTGTAAAGAACAAATCAGGTCAAACCAATCTGAAAGCTTTCTTTGATAGAGTGTTGTGGATAAGGGAGAGACAGTGGATATGGTATACTTAGACTTTAGTAAGGCATTTGACATCATATCTCATGATCGTCTTATCAATAAACTAGGGAAATATAACTTAGATGGGGCTATTATAAGTTGGGTGCATAATTGGCTGGATAACCATTCTCAGAGAGTAGCTATTAATGGTTCACAATCATGCTGGAAGGGCATAAAAAGTGGGGTTTTGTTTTGGGGCCGGTTCTGTTCAATATCTTCATCAATTATTTAGATGATGTCATAGAGAGTACCATTATTAGATTTGCAGATGATACCAATGCGGGAGGGGTGGCAAGTGCTTATGGATAGGATCAAAACTGAAGGATAGGGTCAAAATTCAAACTGATCTGGACAAACTAGAGAAATGGTCTCAGGTAAACAGGGTAAAGTTTAATAAGGACAAATGCAAAGTACTTCACTTAGGAAGGAACACTCAGTTTCAGACATACAGAATGGGAAATGAGTGTCTAGGATGGAGTACTGCTGAAAGGAATTTAGGGGTCACAGTGGACAAGTTAAAACATGAGTCAACTGTGTGACACTGTTGCAAAGAAAGCAAACATGATTCTGGGATGCATTAACAGGCGTGTTGTGAACAAAACATGAGAAGTCATTCTTCTGCTCTACTCTGCGCTGATTAGGCCTTAATTGGAGTATTGTGTCCAGTTCTGGGCACCACATTTCAAGAAAGATGTGGAGGAATTGGAGAAGGTCCACAGAAGAGCAACACAAATGATTAAAAGTCTAGAAAACATGACCCATGAGGGAAGACTGAAAGAATTGGACTTGTTTAGTTTAGAAAAGAGAAGACTGAGAGGGGACTGATAGTGGTTTTCAAGTATCTAAAAGGATGTTACAAGGAGGAGGGAGAAAAATTGTTCTCCTTGGCCTCTGAGGATAGGACAAGAAGCAATGGGCTTAAATTGCACCAAGGGAGGTTAGGTTGGACATTAGGAAAAACCTCCTGTCAGAGTGGTTAAACACTGGAATAAATTTCCTAGGGAGGTTGTGGAATCTCCATCACTGGAAATATCTAAGAACAGGTTAGACAGGCACTTGTCAGGGATGATCTAGGTGGTGCTTGATCCTGCTGTGAGGGCACGGGACTGGACTCAATGACCTCTCAAGGTCCCCTCCAGTTCTAGTGTTCTATGATTCTATGATAAGGCAGCATCATGTTTGAATGTGTAAACATGCTTGTGATGGCAAGATCCTTGCTATGTGGAGTCATACCGAACCATGATCTCATGAAGGTGACCTGCTTCTAATTGGCTACTGTAGTGTCATGGGTCATATCTTAGCATGAACCCATGTTTACACTTCCAAGTATTTTCTAAAATAAGGCAACTGGTTTCAACCAATTCCAGCCAGAAACTGCCCTGGCTTGGTTCCCTGACCGAGAGTGCAGCTATCTGTAACCAGTGAACAGCTTAGGAACTATTGTGATGATAAGATTTACTGGCCTAATTTCTCACATACAGATGTTATGTTATATTTGGTCTATTATATGTTATGCTAGTACTTTTATATCCTCCTGCAGCCCCAACTGGGGTGTGTAAAGGAAGTCCAGGCCTCCTGTCAGTGTAGTTCCTATTGACAAAGAGTGTCATTACATCTATTATCTCACCAAAAGTTTCTTCAGTACTCAAACTCCACTTTACTCTGAGGTAGTGGGAATCACATGCAATGAGCACACTATGCATACCATTATATCCGGTGCATCTTTTAAGAGTCAGAAAGCTCTATCTGATCACAAATTATTTAGCAATGTCCTAATTACTATTGAATAGAAATGCTATTAGAAATGACATATTGGCTAATTAGGATTTCCAATGGGATAGCGAAAGAAGTTCTTTTAGATCTGACCGAAGAACGATAAACTTTATTAACTGAAGTACTAAAATATTTAAAACTAATGGGGCTGATTTGATTTGAAGGTGAGTTAGTGACAAAAATGTAAGACTTAAAGTGAACTTGGAAGCAGACTCCCAGGTATAAGTGCTAAATTAAGTAAACTGGCTTGTGATGTAAGTTTTAAAACCTTTCACTTTATAATACATTTGGTATTGTATAATTTAAGGGCTTTCTGAGCACCTAAGAATAATGAATACTTAGAAAAAATGTTTTATTGAAGTATTATTTTGAAACCAAATGTAAGAAGAAGAGCTGCACGACAGATCTGATTCCTTCATACTTAGTAGATGTGTGACAAGTACAATAGAGTTATACATTGAAAAAAGCATGTTATATTCAGGTCCATGTATTCGGATAATAATACTGATAATTCCCATGTTATTCTAATTATAGTTGAACTTGGCCTCATTGAAATTGTAAACCGGATTTGAGGATTGATGTACTGGAAACATCACTTCTGAGATTTCTTGCAGACATATTTAGCTTCCTAAAGAAGGGTCAGAAGAATTTAGGTTAACTGCACTTTTTTCTGAAAAATATTTCTGAATAGAAAGTAAATACAAAACCATGTTTTATAATCCATTCAAACTGGGTTGATTAAAATAAGATTAAACATAAAATGTTATGGAGGTACACACAATTTTATGCAGAATGAAATTAATTTCAATGAAATTGTTTTGACCTTTTCTAAGGGCTTTGTACCTACTTTGACAAGCAATGTCCTTTTAGGCCCCTAATTCAGAAAGGTAGCTGAAAATGGTCTTAACTCATAAGATGCGAGTAGCTCCTTTGACATCATGGGAACTAGTAATAGCTTAAAATTCAAGATATGCTTAACTATCATACTGATTAGGTTTTACAGAGGAAATTAGAAAGAAAGTAAAAGAAGCATTCTGGCATGGAATCTTGAGTGGGCCAATGCATTTATAGTAGCACAGTGATATCTACAGCCAAAGATTGCCAAAGTATTTCCATTCCAAAATGTCTTTTACCTTGTGTGTGGAACTTTTCTGGGCTTGTTTGCTCAACATTAATCTTCTATGGAGGTTTAATCAAAAATGTTCCAACGCATCTGGCAAAGTGGCTGTTACCCACGAAAGCTTATGCCCAAATAAACTTGTTAGTTTTAAGGTGCCACAAGACTCCTTGTTGTTTTTGCAGATGCAGACTAACACGACCACCCCTCTGAGACCTGTCAAAAATGTTTGTCATTTTTTAATATAAAAGGAGTGGATAACAATCGACTTGAACATTTGTATGCACCTTTCATCTCTTTAAACACCTCTAGAACCTTATTATTGTATAGTAGAATCCTGAAATTTAGCAAGGGCCTGTGCTTTTAGGACCCAATCTAATAAAAATTTACACACATGTGAATAGTCCCATTAACTTTTCTCTAAGGGAATGGCTGCAAGTCAGAAAAGAGCAAGTGCTAAGATCTGAGGTATCTAACAATTATGGCATATAGATAGGTCTCTTCCTCAGATCCCACTGGGTTGGTGGAAGCAACGAGTTCCTCTGTGATTCTTCCTGTGACAATGGGCTGAGGAACGGCCTGTTATTACACTGCCCTATCCCTCTCTAAACCATCCAGAATTTGAGAAGTAGTCCTTCCTGGTGGACACCCTGAAGAAGCCTGAGGTAAGGTCAGCCCTTTCACCAAGGATGCTAGAAAGGCTTAGATTTTTTCTTTCCTTGAAGAAAATCACAGCTAGGTAGGAGTGTTGGGACCAATTAGTCTATCACATGGCATGTTTAGTTGAGTGGCTATTTTTAAGTTGAATGGCTCTCCCCTCAGCCCCAGGGAGGAAAATAGTGGAGCACTGGAGTCTGTTTCAGGCCCTTGCCTCAGAGCAGATTTTATTATTCAGACACACAAAACCTCATGAAGAAATGCAAAAGGGCAGAATTCCTTTGCCTGTAACAATGACAGAAATAAGATAGGTCTCTACCTTTAATCTCCTGCTAAATCATGTGACAGACAGGCACTCCTTAACCCTTTCCTGGCTGTTTCACCCAGTCAAGAGATGGGTACAGAGAACAGTATGGTTTGGTGGAGTCATCTATAGAATCATAGAATACTAGGACTGGAAGGGACCTCAAGAGGTCATCGAGTCCAGTCCCCTGCTCTCATGGCAGGACCAAATACTGTCTAGACCATCCCTGATAGGCATTTATCTAAACTAGGGTACGTCTAGACTACATACCTCTGTCGCCAGAGGCATGTAGATTAGGCTACCAGACATAGTAAAATGAAGCGGCGATTTAAATAATCGCCGCTTCATTTAAATTTACATGGCTGCCGCGCTGAGCCGACAAACAGCTGATCAGCTGTTTGTCGGCTCAGCGTGATAGTCTGGACACACGGGTGTCGACATC